ATTTTCAATTAATTAATTTTACTCTATATTTTTAATTAATTAACCCATAATTTTTTTTCTCAAAAAAAAGTGTCTATGATCAGTAAAATTATTTTACAAAGCAGTCAATTTTAGTAAAGTTTATACATATGGCGACTTTAAGCTATTTCCTGATCCTCATCTCTATCTTCATAATCATATGCATGTTTCGACCAGCGGTTTTTATATGTAATTCTCCCAAATTCAAATTTGTAATACTTTTAGAAGTGTAGCGTTTGGTAATTTCCGTCTTTTGTGATACTATCTGGGTCGGAAAATCAAGGGCAAAAATGTTGGGGCCTTGTACTCAAATGATATTAGATAATTTTCGGTAGCATGATATTCTGACTTTAAATTATGTATGAAAAATCTAGTAAATGTACAAGTTATCAGAAAAAAAAAGAGAAAGAATTGTAATGAAATCCTAAATAAGAAAAAAAATTATTAAAAATATCAATAACAACAAAACAAATTATAATGACAAGTTCAATACTAGTAAATAACAACTACTCACTTATTATTAAGATCTGCTTGTAGTTATTTTCTTTTTTTAGAACCTTGTAATTTTTCCAAAAGAATACTCCTCTTTTTTAATGTAATATCTAATTAACTAATTTGATCATATTAAGAATGTTAGTTAAATTAGTTAGTATGATTTTTTTTTCCTAATTCTCTTTCTCTCTATCTCTTATTTGATTATTGTTAAAGAAATACTAATAGAGTTAATTTGAAAAAATTGATAAAATGTAAAATAATTCTTATATATAGGACTAATATCTATTTTTTTTGATAAGGTTTTATATTAAGGATTGGAGGAGTATTAAGCCGAAAATATTAATTAAGCAAGCAAAGCAATGGGGTCGGCAGTGCAACATCATAAGCGGTTGTTATGTGGGAACTAGCGTCACTGTGGCATTTACTATTTAAGTGCGTTCCGGGTTTGGTCATTTTCTATATGATGACTAAATAATAATTAATAATTCCCATATTTTTCACGAGACATCAATCCATTCAGTTCTGTGAGAGGTGGCATAGGATGCCAATTTAGCTATAAGCTCTTTGCCATAAATCCCTTTATTGAATTTATTGCACGAATGAGCAATTTTACTCATAATTTATTGTAGTGTGGGATATAAATTATTATTTTATTAAAAAGTGTACTCCCTCCGTCTTTTATTATAAGATCCAATTTTTTGAATAGGTTTGTTTCTTTTTATAAGATCCTCTTTGAGTTTGTCTGAGTATTTAATGTAGTATTATCTATTTTATCCCTAATTTAATGTATTTAATATATTTTTTTCTTCATTTATTTCACTATTACTCTTTCACATTTATCCATTTATATATAGGGGTATATTTGGAAAAAACTGTATTTGCTACGTATTAATTGCTTTTAACTAATTTTAATTATTTTCTTAAACCGTGCAATTTAGTTAAAAGGAGCTTATAATAAGAGACGGAGTAGTATATATTAAATAAATATAAAATTAAAAAGCTATTAAGCTTTATGACTGAATTAAAAATATTTAAAATATTTCTTAATTTTAATGAAATATGTTAAAAAGTAATTTATACCAAAAGGATACGTGGGCGTGTATGTATGTGTAATTGTGGAGGTCCATATTGTAATTGTCATCTTCTAAGTTTAAAGCTAAAACATGTTTAAAAGAGAGACCTTTTTTTTTTTTTTTGAGCTGATAAAGAGAGACCTATTATCCCAACAAAACAAAGCATGTGAGCACAGGATCACAGCATCATGACCGGTGTGAAGCATCCATCTCTTCCCGACCTTATGTTGGTAAAGATGTACATATCGATAATTGATAATATATGTCTTCTTTTATTAATACTGGCATCGATTTTTTTTTTAAATTTTTAAAATATTATAAAAATATTACTGGCCTTTTTTTGTGTTGCTTATTTGAATTATTTGCTTATGTAAATTAATGAAGCAAATCAGTGGTATCTATCTATTGTACTAGCCAGCTAATTAATGAATTCTAACCAAAAATAAACTTTGCAAAATTAATTATACCTAAACTCAAATTTACAATTTTATAAACTAATTCATGTGAACATAACAAGTCTCATCTTGCTACTCCTACGCCTTGTCATTGTGTACTTTGATTTTTTTAAAATATTTCATATAAGAAAAACAGTTTTTTTAAAAAGAAAGATAGAGAAAAGAAGTGAATTTTTTAGTCATAATCTACCCCTTATGTCTTAGAAAAATAAAATTATATATCTAATAAAATAGGAACTACATTATACAATGATTAAAATTATAGGAACCAACTTGCAGTAAGTCAGGGCACTCATTTTTTACACTTTTAGAGACTACAAAGTATATGAAAAAGATGTTTCACTAAATGCCACTTGCAGTTCACGGTTTGATTCTCAGCCGCCAAACCCAATTTTCTGTGTGCTCTCTTGTTAGCTTGTGCATATAAAAAGGCAAAACGTATTTTGTGAACATTAAAATTTGGTAAATGGACAAATACATCATTGTGGGTTTTATTATGAAACATTCCTTACTTCCATAAATTACACCATTAAACAGGGAAAACTAATAATTTTTGTATTTACAACAAATTGGTTAATATTTATTTTTTAAAGAGTTCAGTGAAAAATGATATAGCAATGGAGAAGACTTATCTATGATTTTCTTTAAAATTAATTTTATATTAAAAAAATATTTCAATTTAGTTGACTTATACATTTATGGAATGTTTGGATAAGATCAAAACCATAGTTTCAAAAGTATTTTTACGGTGTACGAGGTAAATATGTGGAAGAGTTTATCTCGATTTGTGAAAAAATACTTTTGAAAAGTGATTATTGAGATATCCAAACATCCTATTAATGGTGGTCTCGGAACATAGATTTTTTTTTTTTTGGCCAACGGAACATAGAATTTGATATATTTTGAATGACTGGCCCCCATATATTTTCATGAATTATGTGTAAAATAATTAAAACACTTTCATAAGAATGTAATTAAGCCCTATAATACTTAAATTTTTATAGAAATTTGAAATCCCCATAATGTTTGGAGAAAAGTCATTCGTATAAAGTTTATATTTTTATTAATAGAAGTAAGCCTTAAAATGATTTGCAAAAATTTTTTCAAACGAAAAAGTTTACTTCTGCAAACTTTTTTAATCAATAATATATTATAATATATATTCCTTTTAAAAATATTCTTGGTCGATAGATAAATCATGATTTATCAATTGGGTAATCTGGTGGTTAATCAAGATTGGAGGTGAATATTTTATTTTATTTTATTTTATTTTTGTAATTTTGGGGTGGGCAACTTGTGAATGAAATGAATGATTGAGAAAGCAATAATGCGATTATGGGGGGACCAGAATCAGACGTCCTTGCGTTAGGACGAAGCCTTTTAACTTCTGACCCATCACTTACAAATTGACTGACAACCTGAGACATTCCACTGTTTAACCGACACGTGTCACCTGCCCTCCATTTATTATCATCACTCCATCTATTTCATTTTAATTTTATTCTTTTAAATTTATATAGTAACAATTTCTAAAACAATTCAACTTAATTTAATTTGTTTCAAATTTAAAATATTTAGTCAAGAGATTCTTAAAGTTTAAGAAAATCTGTATTTGCAAAAAAATTTGACATATTATTCAACATTTTCTACTTATATTCTATGTGTTTAGTTAATTCTTTTTAAATTGAGTAATATAATTTTTAACCTTTCAAGTTTGTTTTTATTTTGAATATGATACATCAAGCTTCCAATCATAACTTTTGATCATTTCAAGTTTCTTTTCATTTAAAACAGTAGTCCTTAAAATTTAATAAAAATTTGAATATTTTATCTTATAAGGAACCAAAACCTATAATTTAAAATTTGAAAAACTAAAACTAAAATAAAAATAAACTTTAAGGGACCTATTAATATTGTTCAAAATTTATTTACCATTATTAAGAGTTAGACCAAATAAAAATAACTCTATATAAATGGTTAAGTTCTGTCTAATACTTTAAAAATTTTTTTTGGCAACATTCTGTTTTATATTGAGCTTTTTCTACATTTAATATCTTAAAATATTTTTTTAATAATATTCATTATACTGAAATAATTTTTGTGTGTAATTTTACACATACAGTATTTTTTTAATAGCAACGATTATTTTAAACTTAAGACACTAAATGCTATTATAAAATATTCTAAAATGTCGGGTGAATCAAAAATTAGGAAAAAAAATTAAAGTGTTAAAGATTACTTAATGTTAATTATTTCTAAAAATATTAAATAATGTACGATTAAGAATAATGCTCTTAAAATATAATGATAATTCAAAGAGGACAGAATTGATTGCTGCATTATTCTTGCAATGATTATAACTTGGTCGAATAAAAAATTACCAAAAGAAATTCTTATTTTAGTTTTGTAGAAAATGAAATTGCTAGCGATCATTGGTAATTAATAGTTGACACCTGGATCTGTGAGACGGCCGCTAATTCTATAGTTACTATTTAAATGACCATAGAACATTTTGTTTTATCCATAATGAATCAGAATGACTCCCTTTTACCTCATAAATATGACTGGAATTGTATTTATATTTTTAAAAAATACAAATCAGAATTTTCCAACAAAATTTACTTTGCTTTTGGGGCAAATGAGACTGTTATGTATGACGTCGGAGGCTCCTGGTCTGGTTGATCCACGCACCTGCGAGTCGGCTACTTATTGGGCCCTTTTTTGACCTCAGTCAACTAGTTAATTTGATCATTTGAGCCAAAAATTATTTGACTCCGTGGCCACGTGGCGTTATCCCATTCCATCAAGATTTTCCCAGTCAAAGCTACAGCCGTCAGATCATCTCCTTCCAGGCAACCGCCATAAGGTCACCTCCTTCCGCGCAGCCGCACGTTGAGGGCAAAATGGTAATTCAACCGATAACAAATTGGCTATATAACGCAGGCTCAAGGTTTTGAAGCTGGAAGGTAGAGCGCAGAAAAACTGGTTTAGCTTTCTTCGTTCTTCTTGGGAATGCAGAGAGATGAGAGGACCTGCGCTGACCAAATCTGAAGTGGGTGGCCCTACCAAGCGCAGAATCGGCGGCAGGAATTGCCACCGGAAACACGTCGAAGACGGGTGATCCTCACGCGCCGCCACCCAACCCCGCTTCATTTCTTTGTTTCTTTCTTTGTAATCCCTGCTCATCTGTAAATATACCCAGTTCAGATTTCGCACTACTTGTAATTTCTGCTGAGATTTGATCTTTCCTTGATCGATAAACATGGGTGAGAAGGCCAAAGATTCTTGCCATTCCGCGTTGCTCCACGGGAAGTACGAGCTCGGTCGTCTTCTGGGTCACGGCACTTTTGCTAAGGTCTACCATGCCAAGAACTTGCAGAGCGGGAAAAGCGTGGCTCTGAAGGTGGTGGGCAAAGAGAAAGTAATCAAAGTGGGCATGATGGAGCAAATCAAGAGGGAGATTTCTGTGATGAAGATGGTTGAGCATCCCAACATCGTTGAGCTGTATGAGGTTATGGCGAGCAAATCCAAGATCTACATCGCTATGGAGCTCGTTCGAGGCGGCGAGCTCTTCAACAAGATCGCAAGAGGTCGCCTGAGGGAAGACGTCGCACGAGTCTATTTCCAGCAGTTGATCTCCGCCATCGATTTCTGCCACAGTCGCGGCGTTTACCACCGGGATCTCAAGCCGGAGAATCTGCTTCTCGACGAGGATGGGAATTTGAAGGTCACTGATTTTGGCCTGAGCACGTTTGCTGAGCACTTGCGCCAAGATGGGTTGCTTCACACCACTTGTGGTACTCCGGCGTACGTGGCACCGGAGGTAATTGGGAGGAAAGGCTACGACGGCGCCAAGACCGATATCTGGTCTTGTGGGGTCATCCTGTATGTGCTTCTCGCCGGATTCTTGCCCTTCCAGGATGACAACTTGATGGCTATGTACCGGAAAATCTACAGGGGAGACTTCAAATGCCCGCCGTGGTTCTCTTCCGACGCTCGCCGGCTGATAACAAAGCTTCTCGACCCGAACCCTAGCACCCGAATCACCATTTCCAAAATCATGGACTCGACCTGGTTCAAAAAATCTGTCCCTAAGAACATTGTGACGAAGGAGGAACAGGAATTCGATTTTGATTGCGAGAAATCAAAGCAACAAGCGCCGGCAACAATGAACGCGTTTCACATAATATCATTATCGGAAGGGTTCGATTTGTCTCCACTGTTCGAAGAGAAGAAGAGAGAGGAGAAGGAGGAGCTGAGATTCGCGACAACGAGGCCGGCGAGCAGCGTGATATCAAAACTAGAAGAGGTGGCGAAGGCGGAGAAGTTCAACGTGAAGAAGAGCGACACAAGAGTGAGACTGCAGAGACAGGAATGCGGAAGAAAAGGGAAGCTGGCGATTGCGGCGGACATATACGCCGTGACGCCGTCGTTTCTGGTGGTGGAAGTGAAGAAGGACAACGGCGATACCTTAGAGTATAACCAATTCTGCAGAAAAGAGCTCCGCCCTGCGCTGAAAGACATCGTGTGGACGTCGCCGCCGGAAAACTCCGCGCCTGCTTGATGATGTCGTTTTCTGTGATTAATTAATGTCGTTTGTCACATTCATCGTCGTTTATTTCGTTTAATTGTTATTCTTGTTTTAATTAAGAAAATCATCATGCACAGGCCATGGTTAATGTCTATGCTGGGTTATTGTTCCGATTTGAATATTATTGTGTCTGGGGAAATCTCTTGTGCCTTTTGAACTTTGTCATCCCTAAAGGGGAAATGGTGAAAAGGGCAAGAATAAGTGAACATTCTTGTGTTGTGATGTTATTAAAATGTTTGTGGGATTGTGAAAGGTGAATTTGTGTGGCTTTTTAGAATTAGATTCTGTGATGAATATTTTGCTGTTTTACTGATTTGCAAGCTCTTTGTTTTCAAAAAAAACAGAAAAAAACTAACTGACATTCATATTGATTGATAACTGCAAATTGAAGTTAGCCTCCAAAGTTGATAAGTGTGATTTATGGACTTCACATTTCTGCAATAAGAGAGAGGGACCGAGGTTAGGTGCAGATGATGGGTGCAGATCATTAGGCTGCAAGAATTTAGTTTTCGTTCGGGACATATACCAATCTGACTCAAGAAACATGGGAATGGGGCCAGTGAACATTGTTGGTCCAGTTGGATAGCTTTTTAATGTCATTTTCCTCCATTCATAATATTTAATTGTCTAAAAAACATTGGCTGGTTAAGAAAAGTTGTCCAAAGTTAAGTGGATGCTGGTCAGATTCAAATTTTAGTGTTTGGATTAGTTGCTTAGAAATGATTTTACAAATTACAAGATAAGTGTGTGAGAGGAGTTTTTTTAGCTTGCGTGAAAATATTTGAAACGTGACTTTATTTTCTATAAGATTTGAACTTTATCCTAAAGTGTTATGAATTTCATTCTTTTGATCCTTGGTTAATTAGATCTCTTCTCTTTTTCAAAGAATTAAGACTGAAGGGGCCTTTCTCAAGAACAATGCCCTTCAAAATTTGTTACTGTAGAATTTTGAACAGACTTAAAAAATAAAATCATGTATAGTTTATTGTTCTATTATAACACCAGTGTATTGATAGTTATGTGATTCAAAAAAAAGATTCTAAAAGATCAGGGACTGATAATTTTGGCATGATGTAGGGGTGAGGACTACAAGAAGAAAAAGGAACATAACATGATAACAATGACGAGAGGGAGGGGATTTTGTTGTTACTTGGAAAAATTGTTCGCCATGATAATATAATATAATAGGCATTGCTTTGCCATGTGACTGCCTCCTCAGCCTCATCTCCTGCATCTCTGGATATCCTTATCTTTGATTCCCTTGTTGCCTACTCTCATCATTTCTCCTTCAGTCCCACTCCAAATTTTATATTCAATTAAACTAATCCCTTATTCCTTCTACTTGTAAAACTAAGAGCAAAATAACTAATTCACAATAAGTTTTATTTGAAAAAAATGTGTTGTTTTATACAAAACATTCTTTTTTTAATAGCATGTGCTGACCTATATTAATGGAAACCCCATTTAATATGTGCAACTAATAAAAATAATTTAAAAAATTATAAATTTTGAGAAATAAAGTGAGAAGGGAGTTTACATGTAAGACCAATTTCTACATTTAATTGGAATTGGACTGGGGGTACTTTTCATATGTAAATTTTAAGGATTAAAGGATATTTTTACTTGGGAAGCATTTTCAGTTCAAAATCTAGGGGCACCTAAAAAATTGTGGAGCAATTTAATACATAAACTTTTAAAATTGATGCCATGCTTTTTTACCTTGGAGGTCCCGATATAAGAATATAATTGTCAAAGGCTACAATAAACAAGTAAGCATCATAGATCTATTATTATTTTTTGTATCAGAACTTATTATTACATGTTACTTATTTATTGTGGGTCCTTATAGTAATTACATTTTTTTTATATCTAATTATTTTTCTTAAAGAAATTATAGTACTTAATTCATTTTGAAAGTTTATATGCTAAAATTATGTCATATATTTCATTTAAGATGCCTATTACTTCTTTGAAGATACTTGCAATGAGAAATTGAACTTCAACCTAAATTTTCATAATAATCAAATTGTCTAATTATTAGGGTCCAAGTCTGATCCTAAGGCCTATGTGCTTATCACTACAATGAGATAGATTTGGACGGTACAAATTATATTTGAAAGTTTTTTTTTTACCTGGATATTTGAAAGTTTTAAATTTATAATTTTTAACATAAAAAATTCATTTTTATGGTTTGAAAATTAAAAAATTATTTTGATTTTAGAGTCTAGCTGGCCTCTATTTAAAAAACTCTTTGAGACGCATTGTTTTAACTTCGACAGATCATACATACTATGTACCAAAACTATTGTTCAAAACCTATTTTTATATAGATTTTATGTTTGATATTGGCACTGAGATGTTTTCATAATTAACATTCCATGCTTATTCTTCTTATAATAAAGTTATAATAATTTATGTTTCAGAAAATACAATATTTGTGTGTGCATTCTTTTTTATTCTCTTTTTAATTAAGGGGTGTGCTTTATATTTCAAATTGATATTGATATTGATGATGTTAATGTCAATATCAAATTTATTTTAATGTTTCCATTCATCATTATTTTTGGCCAGTATTGAATCGTAATCATTACTGAAGGAAACAAGACCCATATTTATTATGTTTGATGAAATTTAAAAACAAATTATATTATATATAAGTTATAAATAATATCTATAAGAATTTTAATATAATACATAAATATAATAAGTGAGTATTTTAATTTAAAATCAGAACATTAAAAATAAACCATAAAAAATCTCAAGCACACGTTATTTCGCATGTTTTAGACCATTTTTTTTATTACAATTTGTAATAGGATTGGATCCAATAGAGCATCAATGTGCATAACGAAGAAAAGAACATTATGTTTTCTTAATTTTAAAACTCATTTTGAATATGTAACTACTTAAAAATAAAAATATCTTGATAATATTAAGAAGATAATGTTCTAATTTTACAGATCATAAGTGATAACTTTGAAAAATATTAACAATGATTTATTGGCTTGGTTTCTTTAAAAATATGGAGTTTTTAAATATCATTCTTATTAAATTATAATTATAATTATAATAAGGTGAAATTTTTCAATAATAATGATGCCAATAATATAATGGCAAAGACAGGGGAAAAGTGGCTCATGGCATCTAATCATACTTTTTTGTCTCACGCAGTTGTGAGGCATGAGGTGTGTTTTTTTGGACCTAAACGACATGACATACCCCCGCAAAATAATAACAACAACAATAATAATAAATAAATAAAATTCATCCCTATAATTTTGCATCTAGTAGTATGACTTAATTTTTAAATTTTGACTCAGTAAAGTTTAGTTATCATGATTCTGATTTGGCCGAAATTTAATCCTTAAACTTAAATTCAGCGTAACTCAATTTCTATAATTTTAAGATGAGTTTAAAAACTCGTGAATAATATGATTCTTTCATATAAATTTTATATTACATATAGATACACATTATTTTATATGATATTTATTATTTATTTTTGCCAAAATATTAGTCATTTATTGAAAATAAGAAATTTATTGAAATTTTGCCTTTATTATTGAAAAGGAATAAAATCAAAATAAGTAATGTTTGACTAAGGAGTGTTTGTCTAATCTTAAAGATACTTGAAGATGTTATACCTCAATTAAGGGCTTAAGGCAAGGCCACGCTACATCTTGCACGTGCAGGCCATGCTGTAATTATTTTAAGAATATAAATCCCTCTTCAAGATCTATAAAGATGTTTATTTTAATTTATTCTTAATTTTTTTTGAAAAAATTCTCCATTAACATATAGGAGTACTAAAAATTCTTCGATCATGGGTGCGAGGTAATACGTTCAATGATGAAATTAAAGAAGGGAATGAAATTAAAGTTCATTAAACTGGAAGAAGACTTGTGACAAAATTAAGTGAAAACTATTCCTTGATAACATTATAGTATTAGAGGAAACCAAGCTTTCTCCCACCTTCTCAATGAAAAATCTCAATAATTATCTCGTGCAATCATAGATACTATGAAATAATTCTTAATGTTGAAATTTAGAATGTGTAAAATATTACTGGCTATATTCGCTTTCATTTTATTAATAATTTATTCTCCGAATTAACATTTATAAGCATCCTCATCTTTTCTTTTTTTTTTTAAGTTACCATGCTAATCGTATGATTGTGCGGAATACGATAGATGCCAATCTATAGATTAAATCTCAATGATTTAGTCATTTTTTTATTTTAATATATTCGTATTAGATCTTAATGGTCCAAGAACACGTTATTTTGTTAAATAGCAGTTTTAATATTTCTTGTCTATATTGAGTTTTGTTTTTATCGGAATTTTTGAGGTAGAACTTGGCTTTTTAATGACTCCTCAGTTATATATATAATTTAGTACACTTTTTATCTTTATATGAGCCGTATAGGATTTGTGTCATCTCCTATAATAAAATATGAAAAAATTATATTCACAAAAGATAATATATAAATTATTAGAAGTCATATAATACTCATAACATATAATATATAAAATTAAAAAAATTACACACAAATATGTCTGCCCATCATCGCTCTGGTGAATTAGTATATGCGGAAAGCATCAAACCACTGTATTAACCGACTTGATTACTTTAGCACTAATCAAAACAAAAGTGGGTACCCACGAACTAATAATACACCTTTTACCTTTATTAATTTCCATGATGAATCTTGTCCTTTCTTAAGGAAAATAATATATATTGATATAATTGGGGGACAATTAGGTGAAATATCCTAATCATCAGATGCAGCTTAAGTCAGAATATGCACAAATTTGAAAAAGAATTATATGGTGAATCATCATTATGAATTAACATTAAATAAGGAATCATACTGAAACATGGAATTTCATTCCTCTCTTTCTATATTATAATAATTGGGGTCCAGACTATTCAACAACAACAATAGTTTATAAGATTCTACATATCAGTGTGCATGCATATGAGTTCAAAAGGGTTTTTTTTTTTTCGCCTGAAAAAATTAGGAATTTTAGGCTTCTCAATTAGTCCGATCTGTTTTTAGTGACTTCAAATAAAAAAAAATAAAAGTGATGAAATATCTTAAAAGAGGATTATTGTGAGTTTTTATGACACATGTTTTGTGCCGAATTTTGTTGAAATTAAACTCATTTTATTACTTTTAGTATATATTCTTTCTTCGTCGCTCCTTCAGTTCTTAATTACTAGTTTGGTTAAATTAAGAAAGTCATAAATTACTTATATTGTAACAAATGTCATGTGATTTCCCTAAAAGACCT